AAATAAGTAAAGAATAGCCGGTTAGATTGAATTACTGCTGGGAAGTGTACACAGTTTTGATTTTGTATCTGTATATTGGCATGATACATGCAGTCTAGCATGTCCACACTAGCAGCAAAGGGATGTGTCTCAGAGACTAAGCCAAAGAGAATGACCCAGCTACAACAGAAGACAGAGCAAGGCGAAACGGTTATCATCTTCTGGTGAGCTCTACATTCAAAACTTAGCACTGCGCACTTTCACTTAAAGTGGAAGTGACTTTATCAAAAGAAATGTCGTTTTGGAGAATCGCACAGTAGACGACAGGTTGGCGCCAACTCCGTTTTCGGCCGACCACTTCCTGACACGAAGGCCAAGGCCTTTATGTGTTCAGATGCGAAACACCACCAGAGGACATTCTCACTGAGTCGAGGGCCGGTTTTCACATGGTTTACAGAATCCCAGCTTCTGTTAACCACCGCCTTCCATCTGCGCACAGCCAATACTACTCATAATCGACCATTGTAGCCCTTGTAGCTAGAGTTTCCTTTATTTTAATCAGATTTATACTATGCCTTTTTTCTCACCCTTCGCATACTACTGTTACCCATATGAGTAGTCCTTTTGAAGACTGCCGTCTCAAGGGGACAATCAAGGCTTTTGTCCACCTTTTGCCTAACAAGCCTTTACTGGACAATCATGTGAATGATCAATTTGCGTTCGTCTTCGTCTGTTCAGCTTCGCCCTCTGAGCTTATCTTCCGTAACGCTACAAGTTTGTTCATAAGTCTGGACCAGTTGTCAGTTGTTTTAATTGATGAATCTAAACAAACGCGTTCTCACGGCTACTCAGACGCATTTGTGTCAAGATGGGATGACTTGGCTTGCACCAGCTTCGGCTCACCGGTTGCCCGGCGAGTCGCAGCCACCCTCCGAAGTCGCCCTTGCCATGAGGAGGCCAAAGCAAAAGGCTTTTTCTCCTGGCAACATCTCAAATGACCCTTTCTTGTTGAACTTTGCACCCTCCCACAAGCAAGCTTCCCAATGCCCAAGCGGCGAGGCGAAATGGGGCAAACACACAGACACACACAGACACAAAGTGGCTCGTTGCTGGCCGGTCAAGGACTGGCGATTGGCTCCCGTTGTCCTTCGAGTCGGTCTGTCGGTGGCGGGTGGAAAGTGAGACCCGCATCGGTCACGGCCCGGCTTCGAGTGCATCAGAGACGCTGAAAGAGCGTACGATGCGAGTCGACGAGAAGGGCAATGATGCGTCCTGAGGCATGGGCATTTAATGGTGGAAAACGCAAATGCCCATCGTTGCATCACCATAACAGACTGGGGTTGATTAAGATCTTTTTCAACAATTACCGGTAGCCTTGAAAGCGAATCATGTCGAGTAAACTGAAATATACCATTTGGGAATGTACCAAGTCAATGGTGCGGTGCTGGAAATCACTCAGATTGCCAACATACTCACAGTTGGGACTCATTCTTGTCAAAGTCTCAAGTCAACACCAAATCAAAATTACCTCCATTTTCATACGAAATGGAAGCCTCAAGGATTTATTTGAAAGCCGCTTTATATTCTTATATACTTACTTATATAGAAAATAAGTAGCATCTTCGAATGCAATATCGAGTGCAAGTTTACTTAATCGATAGTCTCAATATGAAAATGTGATTTTTGTGCGGCCTAGTTTGCTTAGTCGTCCCTGTGCTCCGAAGTGATGTCGTAGCGTGGAGTGGCAACCTCGTCATGGTGCCCACGATGCGGGTTCGAATCTCGTTGTGGGTGTGATCGAGGCCAGTTCAGGTATGGGAAAGACTGTAATATGGTCCGGCCAGGGTGAGAGAGCCTTTTTGATGGCGCTGCGGGAGGAAATTCAGAGGCATCCTGAGGAGGACTATGAATCTGATTGTGGGAAAATTCTCCTGTCAATCCTTCATCAGCTTACGCGACTTAGAGTGACCTAAACTATCATTTTTCGATAGGAACTGAAGTCCCCTCGACCTGCATAAAAGAAAAGAAATTAGTGCAACTAGCCGTCTTTCTTGGCTTAGTGATTTGATGCAATGTTTTGCTAAATTGTGGCTTGTGTCTCTGACGGTGCCCATCACGCCGGGCAAGACTAACACTCAGCTCGGATTGATCGGAGTGACGAGCGGCTGTGCTAAGAGATTCAGAGGACAAGCCAACTGAACGATTGCCAAAATGCCAATTGCCGAATCCCATTTCGCCAACTTTCTCTTCGAAAAGGCAAGTTGGGTTCTTCGGTCCGGCAGTCTGGACGACACGCAGTCCGCAGGAATTCGAGGGCTCGGTCTGAAGCTGCGTCGATGCCTCGAAAGAGGCCGGCCCGTCTAGCCTCAGTCACGGCGCCTCGGACTTACTGATCCGACTGCCGTCTTGCCTCGCGCCGGCTGCACCTCGACCAATCAGATGAGC